CCACTAAGCCGCAAATATTTTTAATCCTGGCGAAATCACAAAGGCACGAAGATGTCACTTTTGATCGTAACATTGATGCTCATATCCAAAATATATGCAATCTCTTATATCAAAGAAGGGGATGTTAGATAGAGCGACCATAAGTCAAGAACCGCTTGACTGATTTTCACAATTCTCATCAATTCGGAATGGTCTCTTGTCAGAAAAGGATAAAATCTAAGAAAATCGCGTAAAAATAGGCCAATAAAAAATAAAAATATCTTTTCTTAAATTTTTGTCATATATTTTATCGCATGCGATTTTTATACCCTACAACACTATGTGTTGGGGGTATTATAAGTTTGATTGGGCCAAAAATTATGTAACACCTCGAAATATTGGTTTCCCATATAGGAAAGTATATATGGATCTTCCTAGCTCGCCGAGCTGAGTCGATCTAGCTATGTATGTCCGTCCGTCCGTCTGTCCGTCTGTCCGTCTGTCCGTCTGTCCATGTTAATTTGTAATCACTCTACAGGTCGCAATTATGGTTCGATCTTCAGGAAATTCAGAATGAAGGTGGGGATAGGATCAGAATAGAACCCTATTTCTTTTGGAGATGATCGCATAATATTTAGGGGTTGAAATGGACTAAAAACTGAAAAAATTCCTGATTTTGCAGTAGCTATACAGATCGCAATTGTAGACTAATCGACGCGGAATTTCGCATGTAGCTAGAGTTTAGGCCGGGGAAGAAGCCTACCAATTTAGGTGGTCATCGGATAGTATTTAGCGGGTAAAATAGACCATATCTGTTTTGTTGAAAAAATTCAAAATTTTTCATTAAACCGCGAATATTTTAAATCCCGGCTAAATCACAAAGCCATTACAAGGTTACTTCTGATCTTTACATTGATGTAAAGATCCAATAAATCGAATATATAGCAAAATATGTGCGATATATATGTCTATCAAAGAAGATATGTTTGAAAGATCTCATATATGTCGAGAACGGCTGAACTGATTTCGACAGTTCTCATTAATTCAGAATGTCCTCTTGGCAGGAAACATAAAACGTCTAAAAAATCGCATAAAAATATCTCTCTAAAGATGAAAATATTGATTTTGTAACATTTTCTCATATTTTTCAAATTTTGTCATATTTTTGGCATATTTTCATTTTGAATTAAACATTTGGTAATATTTCTACAGCTAACAAAACTAAGTAGTTAGGATATCAGGATATCATATACAGATCGCATTTATGGCCCGATCCTTACGAAATTTTGCATGGAGATAAGATGAGGGTCAGAATAGAAGCCTACTCTTTTTGGAGATGATCGCCATATATTTAGGGGTTGAAATGGACCAAAAAACTGCAAATGTTGTCAGGAGGTCGTAATTATCGCCCGATCCTTACGCACATTTGATTGGGGGTTACCGGACATTGCAAAAGCCAAGCAGTTTTGGATGGCCATCGAAAAATATATATGTGTGAAGGAGTTTGCCAACTTTTGTAGACAAAATACGAAAATGTCCATTCCAGTGACTTTTTGGAGAATTCACAAATACAGGAAAGACGCACTTCTGGCTATTTCGTTAATTAAATTGGAAATATATATAAACTGTATCGTTTATTATAGTGTTGTAGGGTATTCAATGGTCGGCCCCGCTCGACTGTAGCCTTTGCTTACTTGTTTTTTTTTTCAATTTGACTAACAATTTTGAATTGTACATTTTCGAAAGTTTTTCTACACCCTACACTATGTGTTGAAGGTATTATATATAGGTAGCAATAATCGTCCGATCCTCACGAAATTTTGCATAGAGTTGCGTTAGGGTCAGAATTAAAGCCTACTGTTATGGAGATGAATGATGAATGGAAAATAAAAGCATTTTCCTGATTTTGCAGGTGCTCTACATGAGGAGAGAGTTAGTTACAGGGACTAATTTATTTGTGAATTTATTTCGAACACGGTGGTGTGCATAAATAAGGGTAACATCTGGGCAGGGCCCAATGACATTATTTCCAAATCGAAATCTTGCAAAATTAATTTGGGCGTAAGAGAGCTCCCAATATATTGTAGTGTTGTAGGGTATCACATTGTCGGCCCCGCACGACTATAGCCTTTGCTTACTTTTTTTTTTTTTGAAAATGTCGACCTTTTGTTGAGGGGTAACAGAAGAAGTGGACGAACTCGATCTAAGTCTAATAATAACAATATAACGATGTACTCAGTTAGGACCATATCTGATACTCCCCCCACCGAGAATTATTGTGCGCACCTGCCAGCCGGACAGCAGACAGACATACGGACGGTCGAACATCGCTAGATCGACTCCAAATGTCCTGAAACGGATTTGGTCCAAAGAGACCTAGGGTCTTAAACTGTTATTTCGATAAGTCACGTTTTGTCCGTATCAAATGCTATATACCCTATCTAGCCATATGGCTGAGGGTATAATTATCGAACATTGGCTGAGGGTATACATTTGTCGGCATAACCCACCCATACTTTTTAGCTTCCAGCTATTTAAGCTATTCAGTTGCTAACCATCAACACGGTTTCCGTCCACTACATAGCCCTACAACAGCATTGCACGCCATATCCACACATATCAGTCGAGGACTCAACCAGAACAGGCCGTGCCACAGAACAGTAGTGGTGGCTCTCGACCTAACAAAGGCCTTTGATACGGTCAACCATGCCACGCTGTTCGAGGACGTTGAGAACACTACCCTCCGGCCAAGTTTGAAACGTTGGATAGTCAACTATATGTGTGGACGCCAGTCGTACGTGGAATTCCGGAATAAGAAGTCCAAGCCTCGTAGAGTGAAACAGGGAGTTCCCCAAGGTGGGGTAATATCTCCGGAACTGTTTAACCTCTACCTTTCCGGAATTCCGCGCCCTCCAGACAGCATCGAAATCGTAACTTATGCGGATGATTGTACGATCATGGCGTTGGGTCCTGTAGTTGATGCCCTATGTGACAGGGTGAATAACTATTTCGCGGAGCTTGGCGCCTTCTTCTATGCGAGGAATATGAAAATATCCGCCCCTAAATCGACAGCCACACTATTTATCACTGCGGACTGCGGAGATGAGAACACAGCTGAATGTGCAGGTCGAGGGGCACATAATTCCGACCACCAAAATCTTTGGGGTCACATTCGATAGCATGTTCAAGTCTTCCGCGCAAGCCACAGCTATTTGCGATAAAATGAAAAGTAGGAACAAGGTCCTCAAGGTGCTAGCCGGCAGCACTTTGGGTGCGGATAAGGAGACCTTGTTGACCTCTTATAAAGCGATAAGTCGGTCTGTGGTTAGCTATGCGGCTCCAGTGTGGTCGGCGAATACGAGTGTAACGCAGTGGAAAAGTATTCTGACCTGCCAGAATGCCGCCCTGAGAACAGCAACAGGGTGCCTCCTCATGACTCCTGTGGATCATTTACATGAGGAGATTTCCCTTACGTCAGCATAATCATATGCTTTCGTTGCAGTATCTGCTTGGGTGTAATCGTGGGAGTCACCCTAACCACCATATGGTGGATAGAACTCCCCCACCCAGGCGTGTCAAGAAGGAGTGAGATCCAGTGATATAAGAGAGAGCCCCTAGATCATGAAGCCTATCAAGCGGGTCTGAATGGCATTCATACTGATGCTGTCGCAGAGGTAATTAATAATTACAGTATGAATGCCATACTCGGAGTCCACCCCCATCCATTGCAGCTGAAGAACGTCGGCTGCCTAGGAAAACCAGGGAAGTTTTGGCCCAACTACGTTCAGGTGCAGCCATCTCAATTCGTATTGGGCACGAATTGACGAAAATGTGCGGAACGCCTGCCCAGCGTGCGATACAGGGCCGCACAATACGCTGCACCTGTTTAACTGTCCAGCCAAACCTACCCAACTCCGTCCAGAGCATCTATGGCTACAGCCCATAAAGGTAGCAGAATTCCTAAACCTGGACATTGAGGAAGAACCGGATTAGTCAGGAAACAAACGACGGAACATGTTAAAACTGCTACAACAACAACTGATACTTCCTAACTTTTTTTTTTTTTTGGGAAATTTATATTTTCTTCTCCAGAAATGTAGAAAATTTACATATTTTCCAATATATCACGCCGTTGTTTAGAACCACCACTCCATCCAAAATTTTTGACTAATTTTTCCCAATTTTAATTTAACTTCCAAATTCATCAGAATTTAATAAATCAATGGTGATAAAATATTTTTGTGTTTTTATAGGAATTGACTTCTGGGCCTGCATTGGGAAAGACCAATAGATCTTTCCATATTTCTCTAATTTCCACTTTTACATTTCATATTACTTCTATGCCTCACTTCTATTTTTCTTCATGCGTATATGCGTATTTATATGCCGAACAAAATCCCCACTAATTACATGTATAAATATATATAGCTACATGTGTGTCTATTTGTATATTCTTCCCTAATTAGAATTTGTTTATAGAAAATAACAACAAAACATAAATTTTATTTTTTATTCCCCACCCCAGGTGAATATCCTCGATGTGTTTACAACTCGTCTCAACACGGAGATTATACGGAGGGCAAAATCAATTATGGCCCGTGAATAAATGTGTAAACAAAAAAAGATAACAACAGATGGCCAACTCTACCCCTCCTCTACACTCTCCATCAACCTCCTCACCACTTCACTTTCTACAAAAAAAAAAAAAACAAATACCCCAAACATGGCTATGGCCAATAAAATTCTTGTTTACCCAGTTATCCAAATGGAGTACCTCCAACATTAGATCCTGTTCCGACGGTATCATCATCACCATTGGCATGTCACAGCAATTAATTGCGTACCACCAATGTCCCCACCTGTGGTGGAAATTTCTGCCGAAAAAATAGTCATGCACGGTAACAAAACCTGTTAACACGAAATTCCTTATCAGCCAGTCTGCGAGTTAGTCAGTCAAGTTATCAGGAAATGGTTTGTAAATCAAAAAAAAAAAAAAAGGTTATCACCTGTCCCCAGTGCTATGACTATCTCCATATTTATCAATGAGCCTGGGAAATTTTTCAAGATGTTCCATATTTACCCTTGAATGGAACCTTTGATATTCCTCCTCTGGAATTTGCCACGAATCAGTTTGAAACAAGTCGCCGGGATTATCGGTTCGCAGTCTCGCAAAAAAAAAACAAGTCACAACATGGGCTATTGGTCGGAGTTACGAGCCTGGCTATTTAAAGATCCTGCCAAAATTATCCGTTACCTTGTGTTGTTTGTGTGTTGTATTATTGTTATTGTCCAGGTAGGGCGGAGTTGTAAAAAAAGGAGGAGGATGATATATAATTGAAATACTCTGGTTTAAATTAATATGTTATGTGCGTGTTTTGTATCCTTCGTAGTTATATGAGTGCTTCTCGAAATTGGATAATCCGCCAATATCCACCCATTCGTATTATAATTTAAACGAAACCATTGAAATGCCAGCGGTGACCATATGTCGCGAACCGCCATATAAAGAGGAAGAATTAAAGGTAAGTGAACTTTAATGAAAAGATTTTAAATTAAAACCAGTATAGAAAGTCCTAAAGTCGGGCGGGGCCGATTTTATGATACCCTACACCACTTTACTAATTTAGTTGAGCTCCACTTAATAATTAAAAGTTTTTATGGGAGAATTCAATCATACACGCTACGATTATAATAGAATTTAAAATTCAAAGGACTAAATATGCCGAAGCATTTGTTGGTGCGAAATTAATTTGAAATCGGATAAAAATATATATGGGAGCTATATCCAAATCTGAACCGATCTCTATAAAATTTGGCAAAGATATTTCTGAGCTGTATTTGATATATTTCCCTGAATATCGTTGTTACGGAGTGCATATTACGGCTGTGGGTAACAAATACAATAAATCGGATGAACAATATATATGGGAGCTATAACTATATCTGAACCGATCTTCACCAAATTTGGCATACTACCTTCTAGACTAAATTCGGTGCCATATTCCATCCCATTTGGACAAATATTAGACGTCTGGTGCACAATAAATGGTAAATCGGACGAAGTTATATATGGGAGCTATATCCAAATCTGCACCGATCTCGATAAAATTAAGCAAAGGTATTTCTGAGCTGCATTTAATATATTTCCCCAAATATTGTTGTTACAGAGTGCATATTACGGCTTCGGAGGACAAAAATAACAAATCGGATGAACAATATATATGGGAGTTATAGCTATATCTGAACCGATTTCGATCAAATTTGGCATACTTATTTTCAGGCCTTATTTGGTTGTATGTGCAAAATTTCATACTATTCGGGCTGATATTACACGTTTGGTGCACAATAAAAGGCAAATCGGACGAAGATATATATGGGAGCTATATCTAAATTTTTACCGATTATCTCCAATTTCAATAGGGTTCGTCCTTGGGCCAAACAAATGTTGTTTGCAAAATTTCATCTCAATCGGATAATAAATGCGACCTGCATTTTGTTCACAAGAATACATGGACAGACGGACGGACGGACAGACGGACTGACATGCATAAATCAACTCAGAAAGTGATTCTATGCAGATCATCAAAAGGAACTATGGGTCTATCTCGTTTCCTTTTGCCTGTTACAAACAAATGCACAAAGACATAATACCCTGACCACCTTGTGGTGTAGGGTATAAATATAGCTTTTGAATCGGGGAGGTTCGGGGAAAAAGTGGACTAAAATGGACAATCTACGAAATTGATCTAAGTTTGATAGAAATACAAAAAAAAATTAAAATTATCAGTCGGTTTTGCCGTCCGATTTGTATACCCTCAGTCCATATCATGAACATTTGCGGGGCTAGAACCTGAAAATGTGGCTCGACATATCCCATATTTTTATTGGATTTATGGTTGAAAGAGATATTGTGATACGCGAAGTTTGAAGAGAATCGCTGACCTGTTACGAATAAAATGAGACATATATGAGTGTGAATGGTATTTAACATGTTGACCCGTTACGGGGGAGGTACCAGAAGGAATAGTCCGATCTATCCTATTTTCATACCAAACCTAGGGTTGTAAGAAATATTGAAGTCAATCGGACTCTTCTTTCACATTTTAGAAATGTTGCGATTGTTCAAAACGTTGACCCTTCCTGGGGGAGGTACCAAAAGGAGTAAACCTATATTGTAGATTTTAACACCAAAGATTGACAGAAATCTTATAATCTTTTCTCTTTCTATTATTTAAATTAGATTTTTAGAGAATGTTGACCTTTTGTGGGGAAGGTACTAGAAGGAGTGGACCGATACTGCCCATCTCTGAAATCGATCTAAGTTTAACAATAATATGAAAATGTATCACGTTTGAATTAAATCTGATATTACCTTATTGCGCACCACACAGGCAGACGGTCGGATACCCCTAGATCGACTCCAAATTTCCTGAAACGGATTTGGTCCAAAGAAATCTAGGGTTTAAATCCGTTATTTCGATGAGGCAGGTTTTGGCTGTATACCATCTGTAGTCATATGACTGAGGTTAAAAAAATCAAGCAGATGAGGCTCCGTGTTGATACAAAATGGAATTTACAATTTTTCAAAATGTAAATCCTCTTTTTGAGGAAGAAGAAGAGGAGGACCGAAATGGCTCATCAGAATTTATATTATTTTAGTGTGAAAAATCTAGTATTTTGACTAGACTTTCTACACCTTAAGTCCAGTGGCCATCAAATGTGCTTCAAAACTTTCGACGGAATTATTCGATTTGATCCAAATTTGGGGAAACTTAATATTAACATCAAATTTGAAAATGGGGAATGTGAAATACAATATCGGTACTTTCCCCACAAAACTGTCAACATTATCGGAACTTCAATAAAATCTGACATAAAATCACAGTTCTCTTTCATTATACCCTCAGCCAATAAACGTGCCTCATAGAAATAACGGTTTTAGACCTTAGGTCTCTTTGAACCAAATCCGTTTCAGGACATTTGAAGTCGATCTAGTGATGTCCACCCGTCCGTCTATCTCTCGAAGGGAGTATTCGATCTGATCCAAACTTGGTACATCGTTATTTTATTGTCAAAATTAGATCGAGATCGGAGATGACCAATATCGGTCCACTTCTTTTGGTACCTCCCCCACAAAATGTCAAGATATTCAAAGAAAATAATTTATTGCACAGAACGAGAAATGATAATACAATTTTGTTCCAACTTTGTGAATCTTAATATTTTCATCAGTGCTAGGTCAGGTGTGAAAATGGACAATATCGGTCCACTCCATCAAGTACCTCCTAAAAAATGTGATGTACGAGTCCGATTATCTTCAATTTGAATACATCATAATATTTTTATCAACCCAAGGTATGGTGTGAAGATGGAATATATCGGTCTACTGATGGTATCTTCCCCACAAAGGGTCACAATTTTGAATATTCATGAAGCTTATAAAACACGAAATTAACATCCGATTCCATTTAGACTAAGCACATCTTAATATTTCTATCAAAACAGGATCTGTTAGAAAGATTGTAGAGATTCGACCATTCCTTCTGGTACCTCCCTGACAAAGGGAAAAAGTTTTGAATAACCAACCACGCGGTTCTTTTCATATTTTACACATCCCATTATTTCTACTAACACAAGATCTGCTGTGAAGATGGGATATTTCGGTCCACTCCTTCTGGTACCACATACACAAAGGATAAAAATTTTGAATATCAACAAAGCTCATAAAATGTGATTGACACATCCCAATATTTCTATCAACACATGATCTGTTATAAAGATGGTAGAAATTGGACCATTTCTTCTGGAACCACACCCACATAGGGTTCAAAATGTATTAAAAAACAAAACGTTTAAAGAAAACGAAATAAGCATCCGACTTTCCTCAAATTTCACACATACAAACATTTTTGCTCACACAAGATCTCTTATGAAGATGATATATATTTGCGAACCCCTTCTGGCACCTCACCTACAAAGAGTCACAATTTCCAATACTTTTATCTGTCATAAATTGCGAAACAAGTCAGCGATTCTTTACAACTTCCTATATCTAATATTTCTCTCAACCCAAAACCTGAGATAAAGATGAAATTTATAATTTCGCATAAAATTTGATATAAATTTTCGGTTTTCTGGTAATTTTGTCCAAACCAATATTTTTATTAGTATTAGATGAGGTATGGAAATTAAGTGCACATGCACATTTTCTTGTGATATGTAAAGCACAAAAATATGTACTTTTGAGGATCTTCATAGAATCACTTTCTGAGTCGATTTCTTCTGTCCATGTATTTTTGTGAACAAAATGCTGGTCGCATTTATTATCCGATTGTGATGAAATTTTCCAAACAATATTTGTTCGGCCCAAGGACGAACCCTATTGAAATTGGTGAAAATCGGATCAGATTTGGATATAGCTCCCATATATCTTTAACCGATTTTGGGTTAATTGTGCATCAAAGAGCCAATATCAATCGAAATGACCTGAATTTCGGAACATCCAACCGAATTCATTCTAGAAGCAAGTAAATCAAATTTGGTTAAAAGCGGTTCAGATATAGCTTTGGCTCCCTTACATATATATGTTTCATCCGATTTGGTTTTTAAGTCCCTCACATTCGTAATATGCATTCGACAACAGTGATATTTGGAAATACCTTTGCCCAATTTTATCGTGATCGGCTAAATATAGTTAATCCGTTTTCAGGTTTATTGTGCAAATAATGACCAATATTAGTCAAATGGAGTGAATTTCGGGACGTACGTTTCCACTTTTGTGGAACTCAGTTCCGATATATATTTTTTAATATAATCCTTCTCATGCACTCTATAGCAATGTTATTTGATATAAAAGATTAAAACGTCTCCGTCAAATTTAGTGAAAATCGATTCAGAATTGGATATGGCTCTCATATATTAGTTTCCCCTAAACCAAATTTGTATTTTTGTAATTTGTAATTTGGTATTGAAAATGAGATACATTAGTCCCCATTTTGGTATAGTCGCCATACAACGGTAACTCTATATTTGTCTAAAAATTGATATTTGTAGGGTTGATGCTCCGGTGGCGGAAGATTGTGTGTATTGGTCCATGTTGTGTAGTGGTCCATGTATAAAAAGAAATTAGTAGGCTTCTGCCCAACCCTAAACTCTAGCCCCATGCAAAATTCGATTGGTCTATAATTGTGGCCTCTAGAGCAACGATTAAATTTTTTTTATGTTTTTGGTCCATTCCAATCCCTAAATATTTTACGGTTATCTCCCCTAACAATAGGCTTCTATTCTGATCCTAATCCCACCTCCATGGGGTCAGACGGATGGATAGCTAGATGGATTCAGCTAAGCGAGATAGAAAATTCCATACCTATGTGCAGGGCCATACATAATTTTTGCCCCAATCAAACTTATGTTACGCCCAACACATAGTGTTATAGGATATAAAAACAAAAACAACAAAAAAATTTCTCGACTTAAAAAGTCTCGTTTAAAAAATCCAAAACTTCTCGGAATTAAAAAAAATGTTTTTTAATGATTTTTATTTTTTAGAAATATTTTTCGGTTTTATTATAAAGGGGAATTAAGAAAAAATTAAAATATTTTTGAGAAGTTTTAACAAATATCAAAACCTATTTTTTTTCAATAAAAGCAAAAAAATGTCGGAAATATCATCAAATTTTAGAATATTTTTAGATTTGTGCGAATTAATCAGCTTTTGCACGAATTATGGCCTTCAAACGGCCAATGGAACCGTCACACGCTACCCGAATGTTGCTCTGCGGTATTTTGGCCCATTCCCGGGGAAGCGCTTGTTTGAGGTGATCGACACATTGGTATTTTTGGTGCCAACCTTGCTTCCAAAATACTCCAGACACAATAGTCCAACGGATTGGTATCCGGAGATTTTCGTGCGCTGGAAACGAAGCGAGGAACCTCATTTTGTAACCATTCTTGGGTGGCGCGTGCTGTCCATTGTGAGCTGGAAATGAAGCGAGGAACCTAATTTTGTAACCATTCTTGGGTGGCGCGTGCTGAGTCCTGTTGGAATATCCAAGGTCTGTGGCCAAATACACCCTCTAGAATATTTTGGCGATAATATTCGGCATTTATTCTGATGCCACGGTCGATTAATAAGAGCGGAGAGCGACCATCGCCTATTATGGCGGCCCACACCATCACCATGGCCGGCAATTGAGTTCTTGTGGCCAACCGAAGTTGCACATTTTCATCGGAGATCGGAGAAAGCCAAATTCGGCAGTTCACCACTTTCGGCAGTTCACAAAGCGAAGCAACTCTTTAGTTCTTTTGAGTCTATTTTCTTTCTGTTGAGGTGTGAGTTCTTGCACTTTTTGGAATTTCAATGGTTTTACCCCGAGCTCATTTTTCGATATTTACCGTATGGAATATTGTGATATGTTCAGCTCACCAGCCATTTTTCGGCCACTGCGAGTCGGGTCGCATTGGGGTCGATCAAGACGCTTCTTTACTTTTCGAACCATTTCTGCTGATGTTGCTGTTTTCTTTCGTTCACTTGCTTGGTCGCGGGCTACGTTACCAGTATCACGGTAACGAGCGATGGTACGAGACACGAAAGATTTATTCACATTTAAATGCTGGAGTGCTCTAACTACAGTCACTTGTGGGTTTCCAGCCAAATATAACGAAATCACTCTATCACCCTTCAATTCCATCACGAATAACTTAACTTAACTTAAACAATAGAATGAGCTGTCACTGGAATAATTTTAACAGCTGTCGGACGAGTGGCTTAGAAATGACAGCAGTCTGAAGTTGGTTGCAATTGTTTCATCTCTCCCTGTATAGACTAAAAATATGTTGGCAAAAAAAGGTTCCGGATGAAAAATTTAGGTAGAATATACAAGACCTCCAAAAAGAAGAATTTTGGAAAATTTTCCGTTGATTGTTTTTATGAGTCCTTAGTGTCCAATGAATTATTATTATTTTAAAATTACAAATCTCAAGTTTTTCTTTTTTATCCGAATTTTTTCATACATCTAGGAAATCTCTGGAAATACTTGCACTCATCCGAAATACAGTTCCTGCTGGAATTTCTATCCCTATGATGAAGTACCAATTTCGGAATTTTTCGTCAATTCAACATTCAATGAAACTGAAACGTTCTACAACAAACAGTATGGGTTGAGCTCATTGAAATCGAGTAAGTATCCCAGCAGTCCGCTGGCCATTACAATTTAATACCCATCCAAATGTATGCTATATTGTCAATAGGAAAAAATGACATAACAGTGGTTAATAGCATACAACTAGCATCCGAATCGGATGAGTCGTATTGCTATTACATTGTGAAACAAAATCCATGTTAGAATTAAAGAACAACACAAAATACAATAAAAACTGTCCATCGCACTTGCATCTGAATCGGATGCCTTTGTATTGTTTTGTAACTTTTTTTGTTTATTGTTGCAGCTGCTGTTGTACCGTTATTCATTTTTGATGCTTCTTTCTTTTTTGAAGCAAAATTTTATTCTGTGAAGTGTTTTTGAAATTGCAAGTAGTGAATTTTGAACAAAAGTTAATAAAATAAGAATATAGTAAGTGTTGTGTGTTAAATAAGTTAAATAAAATGTCAGGATTCAGTAGGAGTAATTTAAGACGACTAAAGGAAGTGGAAGCAGACAATTTAAAAAGAAATGCACAGTTGAGGACGGACTGTTTGGAAAACAATGATATTCTACAAAATGAGCAGATTCCATGCATTCCAAAATTGTAGAAGATTTTAGAAAATATGTAAGAATATTAAAAACTCTCCGTTATAATCCATTAATAATTTAAATTCTTTCAGGTAAGTATCATAAAAATTATAATTTCGCCAGATTAAAATTAATGACATTTCTATAATATTATCTTACAGCTATGATGGTACCCAAAATAAAAAGGCGTTTAAGGAATATAAATTTTAATCATGGCCATTTTCGGTAAGTTAAATTTTTTCTTACATATTTATTGAAATGTGATATTATATTACCTTAAAATGTAGTCCATTAGTCTATTCTATAGTATAACTGTTTAATATTAAAAAAATTGTTCTATATTTTCTATGCTTATTTCAGAAGCTGTCATATGTGAAGGATTCAATGAACAGGATTAGAAATTGTTTCAAATTCCCTAAGGCCAGACACTTCCGAACAATGTCCTACAATATAAAACTGGAAAAATATATTTTTTTTCCTTTAGTTTAAGCTTTATTTCTTCCCACGTCTTTTGAATAAGTTTTATGAATTTCGTTTTTATGCATTATTTCTAATTATAATAAGAATATTTTATTGTTGAAAACACTGTTAATAATACGAATATTTTAATAAAAGACAGCTGAAATTTAAGTTCCACAATCTAAAATGTTGATGGAATCGGACCCATCCAACCTTCGCTTACAATGTTGATAGATTTCGGACCCATCCAACATTCGCTTACGTTGTCGGTCGATTTCGGACCCATCCAACATTCGCTTACATTGTCGTTAGATTTCGGACTCGTCTGACGGCCTAGGCCATCTCTGTGTAAATGTAAGTAGAAATTGTATACAGGCTTTGGATGGGTCGCACCTACATTGTCATTGGTCTCAGATGGAAGATGTATGTGCTAAAAAATCCGCTGGGATTAAACGTCGATACACATCGCGAGAGAGAGAGAGAGAGAGAAAGAGAGACAGACATTTCTCTTAAATAGTTCAAAGATGCGTTTTTCTATATTTCCCTCTTTTATAATGATTTGACAAATATGATTTAATCTAATAAAGTAAAAATTGTAAATTAACTACAAAAATAGCTGAAAAACTATTAATTTTCCATATATCCAGGTCCCAGCAAAAGAGAGAATTTAAATCAACGCAAACGTACAGTGCATGAATAAAACTATGTTTTTATTTCAAATTTCTCCTCTTAACCAGATGTAGAGATTACCACCAGTACCCAATTCTATCGTGGCCGCTGCCATACCATTCGACCCAAGGTTGCTCTCAAGAGGGCAACAAAAACTTCCGGTTATTCGATAATGTTGCAACATCATGTTCCCAAGGCCGATGTCGATTTGGACAAGTATGAAGCGCGACCGGGTTGGCATCTCTATATTCACGATCCCAAGGAAAATTTCACCGAAGTCAGTATGAAGGCATCGGGACGTGTGGAATATGTTTTCGTCGATATCGATGAGGAAATTGAGATCAAGTTGCAGAGTCAATATTTTTCAAATATTCCAACAAAAAATCAATACTGCAATAAGGATGAGAGTTATAGTGAGTTGAAGGTAAGAGTTTTTAATTCTTCTTTGGAAAGAGAGAGATAAAATTCTCATGGGTAAATTGGTGTTGTTCGGACCTGTAACCCATATTAACTTGATATTTAGAAAATTAAATTAAATGCAAGATATTTTCAGTTCGTGTTAAGAATATTCTCTAAAGGACCCCCAGCAAACAGGATGTGGATTTTTCAGGAATAATTTATCGATGACCATCAGTAGACTAATTATGGGATTTTTTCAAGGATTATCTGAAATTTTGAGGAGTAGGTTTCCAAGGATTATCTGTGGCCAAAATCTGAGGGTTTTTAAGATAAGTTTACCGGAACCATTAGTGACCTTAACGAGGAGACTTAGGAATAACTTTCAAGGATTATCAGTGGCCTGACGTTGTCTGTTAAAACAAAAATTTTCAAAGGACTATTTATAGCCTTAACTTGGAGTTTATAAATACTTGTTTAAGGCCCATCGTTTATCTGAAAGTTGAATTTTCTGAAATTTTGTTATTCATGATCGTGATATCATCGTATAGGTAATTTAGGAATATTTTCTCAAGGGTAATTTAGGAATATTTTCTCAAGGGTCATCAATGGCCGTAACGTGGAGTATTTGGGAAATGTTTTCTAGTGGCCTAAATGTGAAGTCCTAGGAGTGTCCTTTAAGCACCATTTAAGATGTTATCATGGAAATCTAACACCCATTTCTTCAAGGTCTATCTGTTGCCTAATCGATATCAATGATCATCATGATCGTATAGGTAATTTAGGAATATTTTCTCAAGGGCCATCAATGGCCGTAACATGGAGTATTTGGGAAATGTTTTCTAGTGGCATTAGTGGCTAAATGTAAAGTCCTAGGAGTATCCTTTAAGTACCATTAAAGGCGTTATCATGGAAATCTAACACTCATTTCTTCAAGGCCTATGTGTGGCCTATAAATAGAGTTTTTAAGGATATCTAAAAAAACACCAGAGACCTAAACACAGAGAGGATTTTAAGGATATGTTTTAAGGACACTCATTAACATGCATATGGACTTTTGCGGATTTTTAAGTGCCTCGACATGGAGTATTTAGGAACATTTTTCAAGGAGCAACATAGAACAGAATAACGGGGCCTGAAGGAGTTTTTGATAAAAAATATACTTTCAAGGATCATCAGTGACCAATTTAAGGATATTTTGTTAGGGACCACCAGTCTCTGAACATGAATTTTTAAAACATATTTTTCATTGAATCATTCAAGAATTCAAAAACATGTGTTTAAGGACCATAAGTCCTGAATGTAAAGTTTTTTACAAAATATACCACGGTCTTTTAGAATTTTTTTAATATTTCCTTAAGGACTAAATTTGTTTTTTTTTTTATTTTTCGAGGAGTTTTTTCAAAATTTTTCAGAGACTAAACGTAGAATTTTTTTTGGAGTAAACGCGAACTTTTGCAGAAGTATTTTTTAAAAATAATTTTCTAAGGATCAAGAGTGGATGTCCTTAAAATTGTTTTTTAAGAATTAAAGGTGGGGGTCCTTGGAGAAATAATAGTGAATATTTGTAAAAATTCCACTTCACATCCTCGAAATACTAGTTTTTATACCCTCCACCATAGTATGGAGGGTATATTAAGTTTGTCATTCCGTTTGTAACACCTCGAAATATACATTTTAGACCCCACAAAGGATATATATTTTTTATCAGAATAAAACTCTATGTTGATTTAGCGATGTCCGTCCGTCTGTCCGTCTATTCGTCTGTTTGTCTGTTCATTTGTGGAAATCATTCTCGCTTCCGAACGAATTGAAGTTGATTGATAACATTTTGCTCAAATGTATGTTATGTCTGCGGAACTTTTGGTATTGAAAATGGGCCATGTAGGTCCATGGTATTGCACCCATATAACGGTACCTCCCGATATTCGGTATTTTGATGATTTTAGGGAAATTTTTCACCAGAATTGTTTCAAATTTGGTATTTGAAGTTCGTAATGGATACTACAGCCTATGAGAGAAAATTGTCTGTGCAGGTCCACGTCTTCGTATAGCCCCCATATAAAGGTACCTTACCGATATTCGGTATTTTGATGATTTTAGCGAATTTATTCATCGGAATTGTTTTAAATTTGGTATTTAAAGTTCGTAATGTATACTACAGCCTAAGACAGAAAATTGTCTTTGCAGGTCCATGTCTTCGTATAGCCCCCATATAAAGGTACCTTACCGATATTCGGTATTTTGATGATTTTAGCGAATTTATTCACCGGAATTGTTTCAAATTTGGTATTTAAAGTTCGTAATGGAGACTACAGCCTAAGACAGAAAATTGTCTGTGCAGGTTTCAGTCTTCGTATAGCCCCCATATAACGGTACCTCCCCATATTCGGTATTTGATGATTTTAGCGACATTATTCACCGAATTCTATTTAAAGCTTCGCATTTGAATATTGCAATGGCTTATGACACAAGTTGCCTATGCAGATCCACTTCATCGTATAGACCCTAATATAACGTCTACATTCGGTATTTTTAAGATTTTAACAGAATTTTTAACGGATTTTATTCTTATTTGTTTTTTGAAAATTGTTAAATTCCTTCCAAACGGTGGAGGGTATTCAAAGTTCTGCCCGGCCGAACTTACAACTTTTTTACTTGTTATTTTTGTAAAGGACCTAAAAAATTATTTTTCAAGGACCTCCACGTTTTTTAAGAATATTCTGCAAAATCTTTATGTGGATTTGTATACCCTCAGCCATATGGCTACAGAGGGTATATATCATTTGACACAGCCAAAATGTGTCCCTTAGAAATAACGGTATTAGAACCTTGATCTCTTTGTACAAAATCCGTTTCAGGACATTTTGGAGTCGATCTAGGGTTGTCCGTTCGTCTGTCTGGCTGGTTGATCCGCAAAATAACTCCAAACCAATTTGGTGTAAACTTAGTACATCGTAATATTATTATGAACTTAGATAGAATTCGGAGATGCATAATATCGGTTCACTCCTTCTGGTACCTCCCCCACAAAGGGTCAAAATTATGAATATCCATGAAGCTCATAAAACGCGAAAATAACACTCGATTTCATGCCCACATAGGGTTCAAAATTTTGAACTTTAACTTGTTTTGTTTCTTTTCTTTACCAGTGCGGCGAAAAATGCATCCTCCAGGCAGTTGGTGAATATGCAAATTGTTCAGGACCCTGGTTGGACAATGACATTAAAATGGAACCTTGCAACTCCTATAAATCGATAATGAAATTAATTGGAGAATATTCGAGGTAAGTTGAGGGGAAAGGATTGCCTTTTCCAAAATTTTCTTTTCACTTCAAAGTTACTTTTCTCATTTCAGGGTATATGAGAGCGACGATGATCCGGAATGTGATTGTGATCAACCATGTGAATCGAGAATATTTTCAACCTATATACAGAATAGGAAAAATTTCACCAAAAACGTTGAGCCAAGTAGCCAGATTTATATTTACTATACAACAAAGCTGATATCGGTAAGAGAAAATTCTGCCACGAAACAAGTTTTGCAGGAGTTAATACACAGTTGACTCATATACAGGATGAGATAAAAAAACTGCAACAAAGTCAAACGCCATGAGTTTTATATTTTTTTTAAATTTTATTGAATGAAAGCAAAAAAGGTCGGAAATAGCATCAAATTTTGGAATAAGTTTAGATTTGTTCGAATTGGTCACCTTTGGCACGAATTATGGCCTTCAAACGGCCAACGAAACCATCACACGCTGTCCGAATATTGCTCTGTGGTATTTTGGCCAATACCCGGCGAAACGCTTCCTTGAGGTGATCGACACTTTGGTATTTTTTAGTGCCAACCTTGGCTATCTGTTGGCCATTCTGAGCTGGAAATGAAGCGAGGAACCTCATTTTGTAACAATTCTTGGTTGACGCATGCTGAGTGCGATGTGGCTGGTGTTGGAGTCCTGTTGGAATGTCCAAGGTCTGCAGCCAAAAAATTTGCGGGCCCAAGGCTTTAATACGCCCTCCAGAATATTTTCGCCATTATATTCGATACTTATTCTGATCGATTGCTATGGCAGCCCACCCATCACCATGGCCGACGCTCGGCGCTTGAGTTCTGGTGGCCCACCGAAGGTGCACATTTTCAGCTGACCCCTTTGGCAAGTAAACACGATCATTTTGTTTGTTTACAAACTGCTGGATAACGAATGTTTTTCATCGGAGATCGGAGAAAACCAAATTCAGCAGTTCACCACTTTCGGCCAGGCGAAGCAACTCCTTAGCTCTTTTTCTCTATTTTCTTTCCTTTGCGACATAAGTTCTTGCACTTTTTGGAATTTCAATGGGTTTACCCTGAGCTCATTTTTCAATATTTGCCGAATGGAATATTGCGATATGTTCAGTTCACGAGCCATTTTTCGGCCACTGCGACGCGGGTTTCGATCAAGTCGCTTCTTTACTTTTCTTCTTCCTTTCACTTCCTTGACGTCGGGCTACGCTACCAGTATCACGGTAACGATGCGATGGTACGAGACACAAAAGATTTATTCACATTTAAATGCCGGATGCTCTAACGATTGCCGCTTCTGGTTCTCCAGCCAAATATAAAGAAATCACACTATCACGATTGAATTCCGTCACGAATAACTTATTTTCTGGAGAATTCTCACCAAAATGCTTTTGTACTCTTGTAAACAATAGAATGAGCTGTCACTGGAATAATTTTAACAGCTATCGGACCAGTGGCTTAGAAATGTCAGCAGTCTGAATTTTGGTTGAATTTTTTTTATCTCACCCTGTATGATCAGAAGCGGCTTTAATTTACATATATTTTTTCAATTAAATCTACCTTTATTCCATTTTATTTTTTTTTTCTTTAGATGATGGAGGAACGTCCCAGCTATGACACAACACAATTTATAGCCGATGTTGGTGGTTCCTTGGGTTTCCTGTTGGGCCTATCCGTTTTGGGTCTCATTGGCATATTGGAACATGTAGGTTGAGTTTTAACGATTTTTGATATTTCAGACTAAAAACTCCCCTATTTGATATTTTCCAGATAACTCTACTGCTGTGCGGCGGTGTCATCAAGAAAATGCAGAGAAGTCATGAAAAACGTACCAAAATGAATGAAGAGGTGGATAAGGGTTCGGAAAATAGTGATGCCACTGTCGATATTGCCACCATCTCCAAGGAGGGTCTTTGAAATTAATAAAAATAAATTATAATAAAAAAATTAATTAAAAAAAATAAATTTACAATTTTTTTAACCCTTAATTCTATTAAAGGCCAACAAAATATTGATTATTTTTATAGAGAACCTATGAAAGGATTTTCGAAATCATTTCGAAAAAAACTTCTGCGATTATTGTTCTCGACATTTCCACGTCCCTGACCCTGACTGGATTGTATTTTTAAAATAAATCCTCAAAAAAATATTTTCAATAGTCTCTCTAAAATCCTCTTTTAAAAATATTCTTTACAATTCAAAAAAAAATCTTAAAAAATATTTAAAATACAGGATGGATCCTTAAACTTACACATGAGTCTCCATGTGGAAATTTTAGAGAAATTTCAAAAAAAATCCACGTTTGAAGTTCTGGATATAGACCATAATAATATAAAATATTCCAAAATTAAAAACTATCAATCGGTTTTGCCGACAGATGTATACACTTAGCTAATATCCGTTTATTGAAATATTTAACAAGTAAAAAAGCTGTAAGTTCGGACGGGCCGAACGTTGAATACCCTCCATCATTTGGAACTAATTTGGCAATTCTCAAAAACAATAAAATCCGTTAAAAATTCTGTTAAAATCTTAAAAATTCCGAATGTAGCTGTTACATTAGGGTCTATACGACGACATGGACCTGCATAGGTAACTTTTGTCATAAGCCATTACAATATTTAAAAGCGAAAATTAAAAAAATCGTAATAATGTAGCTAAAATCATCAAAATACCGAATATCGGGAGGTACCTTTATATGGGGGCTATACGAAGACGTGGACCGGCAAAGACAATTTTCTGTCTCAGGCTGTAGTATCCATTACGAACTTCAAATAACAAATTTGAAAAAATTCCGGTAAATAATGTCGCTAAAATCATCAAAATACCGAATATCAGGAGATACCGTTATATGGGGGCTATACCAAGAAATGGACCTACACAGACAATTTTGTGTCATAGGCTGTAGCAGCCATTACGAACTTTAAATACACAATTTGAAAGAATTCCGGTAAATAATGTCGCTAAAATCATCAAAATACTGAATATGAGGGCTATACAAAACGTATCTGTCTTATGCTGTAGTACCTATTACGAACTTCAAAAACCAATTTTGAAACGATTCCGGTAAACAACGTCGCTAAAATCGTCAAAATGCCGCATATCGGGAGGTACCGTTATATGGGGGCTATACGAAGACGCGGACCTACCTGACCCATTTTCAATACCAAAAGTTCTGCAGACATAACATACATTTGAGTAAAATTTTATCAAACTTCTTCAATTCGTTCGGAAGCTAGAGTGATTTCTACAGACGGATAGACGGACGGACATCGCTAAATCGACATAGAATTTTATGCTGATCAAGAATATATGTGGGGTCTAAAATGTATATTTCGAGGTGTTACAAACAGAATGACAAACTTAATATACCCTTCGTACTATGGTGGAGGGTATAAAAAAAGTTAAATAACTGACTGAGACTCCCAGAAGAAACGGCTGAAGTTAGAATCTTGAAAATTTGCACAAGGGTTAGTATTGGTACGTAGAGTACGAAAAGTACTAAAACAAACTATAATACTTTGTATTAGACAAACAGAATGAGCTGGAATTCTGATGGAGTGCAGGATAGATGTAACAAAGGGTTTTGGAAAATTCAAACTTTAATGTTACGAAAAGTTCTAAAATGGTACTAAACTTCTAAACTGGTACCATTTGGTATTATGTAAACAGATAAAGCAAAAAACTTAAAATTTGGTAAGAGAACTAAGGTTGAAAGGTAAGTTTGATATGTGAAGATATTTTTGGAAATGTGAACTAAGTGTGCGAACAGTACTAAATTTGGAACAGTTTGGTTTAGGGTGAACGGATGATGTTGGTATTTTGAAATTTTGTTCTGGGGTCCCTGCTGATGGTTGGTTTGTGATAGAGAGGTGTTTTTAGAAATGTGTACTACAATTGTACGATATGTACTAAATAGTACTATATTTGGTACAATTTGGTAATGAGTGAACAAATAGTGCTTGAAATCTGAAATTTGCTATTAGGGTCGCCATTCATGTGTAGCCTGGACATATGCATGTGGTTTGGGAAATTTGTACTAAAAGTACTGAATGGTACTATATTTAGTATTGGGTGAAGAGATAGAGATAGGTGATAGTTAGATAGTTTTGGCGCCCTTGTTTGTATAAAAATAGTACTAAAGAGTACTAAATTTGGTAATATTTGATGGGATAGGGCTGGAATCCTCAAATTCAATATTGAGGTCTCTGTTGGTATCTGGGATTGAGATTTGGAGGTGGTTTTTGGAATTGTGTACTATAATTGCTATTGTGTACTATAAAGTACTGAATTGTACTATATTTGATATTGGGTGAAGGGATACAGATACAATTGAGAAATTTTAAGTTTAGATTAGAAGTTTAGATAAGATTACTAATGGTATCTGTGTGTTGAGGAAAAGTCTCTGTTGGTAACTGGAATTAAAATATGGAGGTGATTTTGGAAATGTGTACTGTAATTGTACGAAAAGTACTAAGTGGTACATATTTTGGTATTGGGTGGAGGGATAGAGCTTAATTCCCGAAATTTTATATTGAAATATTATATTGATACATATTTATATATTATATTTTGGTATCTGGGAATGAGATTTGGAGCTGGTTTGGAAATTGGTCCTATATTTATACGAAAAGTACTAAATGGTACTAAATGTAGTATTGGGTGAAGGAATTGGGTTGGAATCAATCTTGAGGTCCCTGTTAGTGTTGAGATCTGATAGTGGTTTTGCAAATGCGTACTATAATTGTACGAAAAGTACTAAATGGTACTAAATTTGGTATGGGATGAAGGGATAGAGCTGAATTCCTCAAATTTGATGTTGAGGTCACTGTTGGAATCTGGGATTAAGATATGGATGTGGTTTTGAAAATTTGTACTTTAATTGTACGAAAAGTACTAAGTCGTACAAAATTAGATATTGAGTGAAGGGATAGAGCTGAAATCCTAAAATTTGATATTGAGGTCACTTGGTTGGTTTCTAGGATTTACATATGGAGACGTTGAAATAGTTTTGACAGAAAAATAGGATGTGGGTCCATTGTGCAATGGTTTTACTAATATCCTCCTCGGTAAAATGCAGAATGAAAGATTTCGAAGATTCTAGGATAATCCTAGATCGGCTGCAAATGTCCTGAAACGGATTTGGTCCAAAGAGACCTAGGGTCTAAAACTGTTATTTCTATTAGGAACAATTTGGCCGTTTTAAATGATAATTATTCTGTGGCCATATGACTGATCCATTTTTGAGGCTCTAGATGGTCCACAAGACACCGAAAGGTCCTTTAAAAAAATTTTAAAAAATTCCCGTTTAAGGCCCTAGTTGTCCCTATAAAATATTCTTAGAAAAATTCTATTTGAAGCCTATTAATGAGGAAAATTTTCACAAAATGCACTTTCAAAGCGCTGGACGGTTCTTAAAAAAATCTCAAAAAAATTTTCGTTTAAAGCTAGGTTTAAATTTTACATATTAAAAAATCTAAATTTAAACCTCTGGATGGTTCTGTATATCTTTTTAGACGTCCCCCAACAAAAAACCCCTGGATGGGCTTTGGAATATATTCTTACAATATCTACATTTAAGCATCTGAATAATCCTTTAAAAATATTTCTAAAAAAAGGAAGGAAAGGAGGAAAATTTTCAAAAACAGCAATTTCAAGGCTCTGGATGGTCCTTTAAAAAATACTAGTTTACAGGTAAATGGTCCATAATTTCCAAAAAAAAAACATATTTAAACCCTTGAATGGTCCTTCAAATGTATTCTTAGAATATCTACATTTAAAAAATATTCTTAGAAAATCCTTTTTAAGCCTTTCGATGATCTATAAGGGAAGTTTTCCACATTGCACATTAAAAAAATTCCCATTCAAGACTCTAAATAGGCATTTAAAATTCCCAAAGGATCTAGTTGGTCTCTTAAAAATATTCTTAAAAAAATTCCCTTTTAAGAATAATCACAAAATGCAATTACAAGGCTCTGAATGGTCCCAAAAAAAATCTCAAAAAATCCTTTAAAAATATTCTTAAAAAATCCACATTTAAATCTCTGTATGGGTCTTTAAAAATATTATTAAAAAACTCTTTCGAGCCTATTGATGATCTTCGAGGAGAATTTTCATAAAATGCACTTTCAAGGCTCTAGATGGTCCTCTAAAAAATCCTCGTTGAAACTCTAGATGGTGCTTTCAAAATATTCGTATAAAATCCAATTTCAAGCCTCTGGATGGCCCTTACCCAAATCTAAAAAATCCTCTTTTAAAGCTCTATATGTTCCACAGAGAATGTGTTTAATAAATCCACATATAAACCTATGGATGATCCTAAAAAAATTCTCAAAAAAATCCTTGTTTAGGACTCTGGAAGGTACTTAAAAAGTTCTTTAAAGCTTTTATTAAAAAAATCCATGTTTGAGACCAGGAAAAGTTCCTCATATAAGGCTCTAGATAGTCCCCTAAAAATATGCTTAAAAGTCCACAATTGAGTCTCTGGATGATCCTTCAAAAATATATCCTCAATAAACACATTTGAATCTCGGTTTTTGGTCTGCTGTGAGCAGATTCCCTGGCCTTCTATGAGAAGATCTCCTAGCCTTTTATGAGAAGACCCCCTGGCCTTCTATGAGAAGACCCTTTGGTCTTCTATGAGAAGACTTTCTTCTTCCAGTCTTCTTTGAGAAGACCTTCCAGTCTTCTGTGAAAAGACCTTCCAGTCTTCTATGAGAAGATCTTCCAGTCTTTTATGAGAAGACCTTTCAATCTTTTGTGAGAAGACCTTTCAATCTTTTGTGAGAAGACCTTCCGGTCTTCTATGAGAAGATCTTCCAGTCTTCTATGAGAAGACCTTCCAGTCTTTTGTGAGAAGAAATTCTCATTCAGCAATCAAAAATATTTTTAAAAATCAGTTTTTACAGATCCGAGAGACTTTCCAAAATAATTAATTTTTTTTTTAAAAATATAATTTTTTTATTTTTTAACTTAAATTCAGAATAACCTACAACTATATATAAATTACGTGCTATGCAAAAATTAATCTTAAAAACTACATTTCGAATGAACTGATAAGTAGTGGGAGGAGTTGGGGGCAGCAATACTTTGTTCTTGTTGTTGTTCTGTTCTTAAAAACCTATTTCTTTTTTTAACAAATATTTCAAATAATTTAAACATATCATCTAAACAATTGCCAAATGCAAATCCATATTCCCAACATCATCATCGAAAATCTTGAAATCGAATCCGCTGCATTATGATGATCATGTTGGTGGTGGTGATGATGATGATTCATATGATTATGATGCAGATCATTGTTGACATTGAAATCCGAGGGCATACTTCCTCTGGAATCTTCCAAAACAGATCTCTTCAAACCCTCTTCACATACAGTATTGGCTATGGCCTCCATTACCGGAGCCGTAAGGATACGGAAATTCACCGAGTTGGGGAACAATTCGCCATAAATGAATTCCTGCAAACGATTCGAAAGGACCCACAAATTATGCTCTCCGTCGATTTTCACATCACTGGGAAAGAGCATTTCAACGGGATGCATGTAGACACGACCCTGGGACTTGGGACTATATTCCACACTGCTAGTTTTCCAACAGGCCACAGCATTCAAATTTGGCAGAGTATAGAACAGTACATCCGTTTTGGGATCTAAAAATGAGGCACCCGATTGGGCATTGATGCCACGAGAACCCAAAACCTTAAACTCCCGATAGATTTTACCCTCTGTGGCCAGGGTTTTATTGCGCAATATCTTGGTGCTCACCGAAAATTCCATCGTCGAGGTGAGAGGATGAAAATAGAGTGTAGAGAAACCATCCTCCTCCGGCTTACTCAACGACAAACCATACAGACCATCATCCCATTGGAACATATGGCCGCCAATGCTGAAGTTACCCGACATTGGGTCAGGGTGGAAATAATGATGCACAACACGCCATGATTCCTCTTGCTTCCAAGAGTAAACCACCAATCCAGGATTACCCAAATCTCCAGCATAGGCAAAGGTGTTCTCACAATCTCCATCCTCAATGGCCAAATTGGCAAAGAAGGAATTCTCCTTAACTTGATTGGGAGGGAAGATATGGCGTCTCAGCAGATCATCGTTGTGTAAATCGTAGACCAACAGCTGGGCGGGACCAAAGATTTGAGTATCCTCCAGAACTCCATCCAGACGGGAATCCAGCACCCATAAGCGGCCACAACGATCGGCCCGTACCCGGAAAGGTGATACCAATTCAGGTTCAATATTTTCCAAATTATGCGCCTCCCAACTGGGATAGGGTATCAGGGCGGGAGATTTTGTTGAGTTGTCTGTAAGGGAGAAAGAGAGAGGTAAAATAAAGAAATTAATTAAATACAAACATTTAATTTATTTTATTATTTAAAGACCTATGGGTCTTCTATATCGGCCCAGTATATGCAGACCAGCTGTATTTCTATTAGAAGACCTATTGGTCTCCTATAAGCAAAAAGATTGGTCTGCAGTGAGAACTTTTTCTGGTCTTCTATGAGAAGACCCTCTCTTGGTATTCTAACCTTTCGGGTCTTCTATGAGAAGACCTTTTTCTGGTCTTCTATGAGAAATCCTTCTTCTGCTCTTCTATGAGAAGACCTTCTTCTGCTCTTCTATGAGAAGACCTTCTTCTGCTCTTCTATGAGAAGACCTTCTTCTGCTCTTCTATGAGAATTCCTTCTTCTGCTCTTCTATGAGAAGACCTGCATCTGCTCTTCTATGAGAAGACCTGCATCTGCTCTTCTATGAGAAGACCTGCATCTGCTCTTCTATGAGAAGACCTGCATCTGCTCTCTATGAGAATACCTGCATCTGTTCTCTATGAGAAGACCTGCATCTGATCTTCTATGAGAAGACCTTCTTCTGGTCTTCTATGAGAAGACCTTCTTCCGGTCTTCTATGAGAAGATCCTCTTCTGGTCTTCCATGAGAAGACCCTCATCTGACCCATTTCCAGGCCAAGAGTCGTGGGTTTAAAAAAAATTAAGGCCATCTTCAGGTCAATAGGCGTGGATTTTGAAAGATTTTTTTCAAAACCATCTTCAGGTCAATAGGCGAGGATTTTTAAAGATTTTTTTCAAGACCATCATCAGGTCAATAGGCGTGGATTTTTAAAGAGTCTTTTAACTCCATTTCCAGGTCAATAGGCGTTGATTTTTAAAGAGTCTTTCAAGACTATCTTCAGGTCAATAGGCGTGGATTTTTAAGGATTTTTTTCAACACCATTTCCAGGTCATTTTTAAGGATTTTTTCAACACCATTTCCAGGTCAATAGTCGTGGATTCTTTAAGTTTTCTCCAAAACCAATTCCAGGTCAATAGGCATGGATTTTTAAAGAATTTTTCAAAATAATTTCCAGGTCAATAGGACTGGATTTTTAAAGTTTTTAACACCATCTACAGTCCAATAAGCGTGAATTTTTAAAAATTTTGTCAACACCATTTCCAGGTCAATTGACGTGGATATTTAAAGATTTTTTCAACACCATTTCCAGGTCAAAAGACGTGGATTTTTATAATTTTTTTAAACCCATTTCCAGGTCAATAGGCTTGGATTTTTTTTTTTTCAAAACCATATTTTTTTCAAGACCATCTTCAGGTCAATAGACATGGATTTTAAAAGATTTTTTTTCAAAATCATTTTCAGATCATTAATTTTTTAAAGATCAAATGTGCGTATTTTTAAGATGAGTCACAATGGTATGAGTAATTTCAATTTAATTTCAAACAAGAATCCATCGCCGCACATAAATGTCAAATATTTTCCTTTCTTAAAAATAATTTGTTAATTAAATTTTCAAATAATTGAATAATTTTTGTCAATTGACCATTACAACCTAGCTGATGCTGCGGCAGCTGATCTGGGATGATACATCCCAGACATTAGCTCATCAATACATCCGATGTGCCAGCATGTCTCTAAGTATTCGTTAAACGCTTTTGAGACAATTTAGCGATCAATCAACTTTTGTTTGCCGCCCTAATTGCCGTGAGCGCTCAATTTGCCAATGGCAAATAAAATTTTATGGCGAAGTGTTAAATTTGTTATTTACGTGTTAATTACTACTGGATGTTGTTGTTGTTGTGAAGAGAAGATTCCAAAAAGGAAATACATGGAAGTTGGAGGTGTGAAAACGTAACAAGGTGAAGGTATTATCAATTAACTTGAATGAATGGATTCTCTGGGTTTTTGAATAAAATCGATTTTATCGTTTTCATTGCCAGCGCGACCCTGGCGAGGAAGTGACTTTGCCTTATGGAACCATGTTAAATTATGCCGGATATAAGTAATTTTCAATACCATTCTCAGAAAGTCCTCCTGTGATTTCAACTGATCTGGATTATAAAACAGAGATGGTAACATTGAATTAAAATTTTATGCCAATGGCGATTATCTATATTCTATGGGATCTCTGAAGAATATATCAATATTTTTATTGACACAAATTTTCTTATGATTACTTTCGAATTTTCACCTGCATACACATAATAAAGTTTTTCCCCATGATTTTCAAATTTAAAAATAAAAATTCCAAATTTAAAAATAACAAATTATTAAATTTTCACCTTCTGAAAATTAGATCGACCCACACACAGAGATTTATCCCAACCACCACCAAATTAGCTTCAGAAATTTGTACATAAAGTGAATGGTTTTTTTTTGTGTGTTTTGGCCAGTCTCCGTGTCAGACAGGCAGTCAGTCATTTGGAACTTTTTTCTCATTTCTCGCAGCCTTTTTCATTTCTTAATTAACCGCCACCTACATTGGCCAAATGTAATTTTCGACATTTTTATGCTTTTATTTGCGACATGAAAGAAATCGATTTCAAAAATTCCGTTTATTTTAGAATGGATGGTGATGCATACACACGTATATAGATGAGTCAGTTTTATTGATATAATGTTTTAATGATTTTATAAAAAAAACATAAACATATTGAAATCTTTAAAAATCCACGCCTATTGACCTGAAGATGTAGTTGAAAAAAATCTTTAAAAATCCAAGCCTATTGACCTGAAGATGGTGTTGAAAAAAATCTTTAAAAATCCACGCCTATTGACCTGAAGATGTTGTTGAAAAAAATCTTTAAAAATCCACGCCTATTGACCTGAAGATGTTGTTGAAAAAAATCTATAAAAATCCACGCCTATTGACCTGAAGATGTTGTTGAAAAAACTGTTTAAAAATCCATGCCTATTGACCTGAAGATGTTGTTGAAAAAAAGTTATTAAAAATCCATGCCTATTGACCTGAAGATGTTGTTGAAAAAAAGTTATTAAAAATCCACGCCTATTGACCTGAAGATGTTGTTGAAAAAAATCTATAAAAATCCAAGCCTATTGACCTGAAGATGTTGTTGAAAAAAAATTTAAAAATCCACGCCTATTGACCTGAAGATGTTGTTGAAAAAAATCTTTAAAAATCCACGCCTATTGACCTGAAGATGTTGTTGAAAAAAATCTTTAAAAATCCACGCCTATTGACCTGAAGATGTTGTTGAAAAAAATCTTTAAAAATCCACGCCTATTGACCTGAAGATGTTGTTGAAAAAAATCTTTAAAAATCCACGCCTATTGACCTGAAGATGTTGTTGAAAAAAATCTTTAAAAATCCACGCCTATTGACCTGAAGATGTTGTTGAAAAAAATCTTTAAAAATCCACGCCTATTGACCTGAAGATGTTGTTGAAAAAAATCTTTAAAAATCCACGCCTATTGACCTGAAGATGTTGTTGAAAAAAATCTTTAAAAATCCACGCCTATTGACCTGAAGATGTTGTTGAAAAAAATCTTTAAAAATCCACGCCTATTGACCTGAAGATGTTGTTGAAAAAAATCTTTAAAAATCCACGCCTATTGACCTGAAGATGTTGTTGAAAAAAATCTTTAAAAATCCACGCCTATTGACCTGAAGATGTTGTTGAAAAAAATCGTTAAAAATCCACGCCTATTGACCTGAAGATGTTGTTGAAAAAAATCTTTAAAACTCCACGCCTATTGACCTAAAGATGTTGTTGAAAAAAATCTTTAAAAATCCACGCCTATTGACCTGAAGATGTTGTTGAAAAATTCTTTAAAAATCCACACCTATTCACCTGAAGATGTTGTTGAAAAAAATCTTTAAAAATCCACGCCTATTCACCTGAAGATGTTGTTGAAAAAAATCTTTGAAAACTCACGCCTATTGACCTGAAGATGTTGTTGAAAAAAATCTTTAAAAATCCACGCCTATTGACCTGAAGATGTTGTTGAAAAAAATCTTAAAAAATCCACGCCTATTGACCTGAAGATGTTGTTGAAAAAAATCTTTAAAAATCCACGCCTATTGACCTGAAGATGTTGTTGAAAAAAATCTTTAAAAATTCACGCCTATTGACCTGAAGATGTGGTTGAAAAAACTGTTTAAAAATCCACTCCTATTGACCTGAAGATGTTGTTGAAAAAAATCTTTAAAAATCCACGCCTATTGACCTGAAGATGTTGTTTAAAAAAAAATCTTAAAAAATCCACGCCTATTGACCTGAAGATGTTGTTGAAAAAAATCTTTAAAAATCCACGCCTATTGACCTGAAGATGTTGTTGAAAAAAATCTTTAAAAATCCACGCCTATTGACCTGAAGATGTTGTTGAAAAAAAATCTTTAAAAATCCACGCCTATTGACCTGAAGATGTTGTTGAAAAAAATCTTTAAAAATCCACGCCTATTGACCTGAAGATGTTGTTGAAAAAAATCTTTAAAAATCCACGCCTATTGACCTGAAGATGTTGTTGAAAAAATCTTTAAAAATCCACGCCTATTGACCTGAAGATGTTGTTGAAAAAAATCTTTAAAAATCTACGCCTATTGACCTGAAGATGTTGTTGAAAAAAATCTTTAAAAATCCACGCCTATTGACCTGAAGATGTTGTTTAAAAAAATCTTTAAAACACCACGCCTATTGACCTGAAGATGTTGTTGAAAAAACTGTTTAAAAATCCATGCCTATTGACCTGAAGATGTTGTTGAAAAAAAATCTTTAAAAATCCACGCCTATTGACCTGAAGATGTTGTTGAAAAAAATCTTAAAAAATCCACGCCTATTGACCTGAAGATGTTGTTGAAAAAAATTTTTAAAAATCCACGCCTATTGACCTGAAGATGTTGTTGAAAAAAATCTTTAAAAATCCATGCCTATTGACCTGAAGATGTTGTTTAAAAAAAATCTTAAAAAATCCACGCCTATTGACCTGAAGATGTTGTTGAAAAAAATTTTTAAAAATCCACGCCTATTGACCTGAAGATGTTGTTGAAAAAAAAT